GGGGGGGGGGGGGGGGGGGGTTGCTCAATATGTGCATCGTGTTTTCCTCACCTTGTTTGCGAGATCCTGATTCTGCCGATCCCATCCCGTAGTTTCTGACACGTCGAAGGCTCCACAGCTTATCCTGGAGAGGTGTCCCTAAACCCTACCCATAGGCCCCATNNCATAGTAGTTCCTTTTTGGGGTTCACATTTAGAATCCTAAAAGGTAATCCCCAAAAGGAACTACTATGGGGCCTATGGGTAAACCCTAAACCCTAAACCCCAAACCCTTAACCCTAAACCCTAGACCCTAAACCCTACACCCTAAACCCCCTAAACCCCAAACCCCCTAAACCCTCTAAACCCCCTAAACCCTAAACCCCTAAAGCAAATCCGCAAAGCTTGCAACTTCAAGTGCCGAGGCGCTCTTCTACTCCTTGGCCGGATCCTCCCTGGGCCTCTTCACCGTCTCCTACTTCACTTCTTTCATGCTCCTTGAGGACCGCTTAGGGGTGTAGGGTTTAGGGTTGAGGATTGTTTAGGGGTAGAGGATCTATTTAGGGGTTTAGGGTTTAGGGTTGAGGACGGTTTAGGGTTTCGGGTTGACGGTTTAGGGTTTAGGAGGGTTTAGGGTTTAGGGTTGAGGACGGTTTAGGGGTCTAGGGTTTAGGACTGTTTAGGGGTTTAGGGTTTAAGGTTGAGGACGGTTTAGGGGTTTAGGGTTTCGGGTTGAGGACTGCTTCGGGGTTTAGGGTTTAGGGTTGAGGACTGTTTAGGGTTTAGGCTGCACGTCTGTGACCTGAGAGGCGTGTTCAATGCAGGGGATTCTACATGTCATTTGAGGTTATGTGAGACTTGTGCTTTTCATCACGGCATCTACAACCAGTGACAGAAACATAGTAGAGTCTGTTGAAGCGCCATCGAATTTGGTGGCTGGCAGGTTCTATCGCGAAAATTGCAGTAGCTCGACAGCTTCGGCAACGAAGTTGTATCTTAACCATCCGAAACGTCAGAACTCACACTTTTAGTTCAGGGGTTCGTAGACCCTTCTAATCTAGCGGCCTAAATGATTATATACCCCTTCTATTTTAGGGGTTCCTTATTATACCTATAGTACAATATACCCCAAACCCCTATTCTAATGCGAACGTGCCGGACTTGAAACCTCCCAAATGACTGGGTCTCCCGGTGGGCCCTGTTTCCCTTTTTGAAGTCTTAGGTTCCTTATACCCATAGGCCCCGGAGTAGTTCCTTGTTGGGATTACCTCATAGGGTCCTACATATGAACCCCCAAAAAGGAACTACCATGGGGCCTATGGGTAAAGGTATTCAATGCCGCAAAAAGGGAGTCTTTTTTAATCCTAGGTTACTGGGCATCCTAGATGAGGACCAGGGGCCCAAACGAGTGGTCGACATCGGCTTCCTCATCGCCAAGGGTGTCAACGTCTACATGGGCCGCACCATCCCCATCGCAGCCGTCTCGGAGAGGGGGGCTCGCACGGGAAGGGAAGGATTTTGCAGGCCTTGGGTGTTAGGGCTGTGGGGGTTTACAGGGCTAACGGTTTGGGGATTTAGGATTTGAGGGCGTTTAGTGCTTATGGTCTTGGGGCTTGGGGTTCAAGCTTGCGGTTTTGGAGTTCAGCGTCGAGGGCTAAGTTTATCGGGCTCCTGGTCTTGGGGTTTATTTAAAAAGGGGGTCAAGGGTTTGTTGTACCTATAGTCTCCATTGTACTGGTAGTTCCTTTTTGGGGATGCCTTATAAACTCGTTAATATATATTTGGTTAAACCAAAAAAGGAACTACAATGGAGACTAGTATGTTGCGAAGGTGTTGGGGGGCGTCCCTTGTTCCTGATGCTGAGATCCTGGCACTGCTTTTCCTGGGAGGCTGGTACGCGCCGACCCCAGCCCGGTCTGAGGTGGAGCTCTCCGGATGGGAGTTTCTGAAAATTAGGGGTACCTTATTTTGGGGGTCCTTATAATAAGGATCCTATTATTTGGGGTACTATATTAGGGTCCCCTATTTTCGGAAACCCCCAGGTGAAGCTCTCTGGATAGTGTCGGGGCTAAGCGCCCACTAGCTTTCATCAGCACTTCTAGCGAGCGTGATGCTTTCCATCGGGTACCAGGGTGTAAAGTTTGTCCGTAAACCCTACACGCAAAACCCCAGTGCGTTGCAGGTTGTTGTTGAGGGCCAGGAGTTAAATGGGCTGTTGCTCCGAAAAGTGCACACTTTGGTTGAGCTGCTCGTCCACATCCAGATGGACGTAGCTGCTCTTTTCAATATTAACCCAGAGAACCCAATACCCCTT